AACCAGAATGGCAAAAACCAAACAAAACACACACAAAAGTGGGAGTCTGTCGCCATTGTCGCGGCTCCAATTCAATACAATAATAATAAAATTTGTATGCAAAATAGGCGTTGAGTGTTGAATGCATGCAAAGATTGCAGGATGAAACCACGGGGTGTTTGGTGGTTCTGGGTGGTGGTCTTTCGGCTAGTGGCTCGATATACATATACAAATATGCACGAGAGAGGCGCTATTGTTGTTGCTTTTGTTGTTGTTGTTGTTTTCAGTTGTTGTTGCTGGCGGTGGCTGCCTCGTGTTGAAAAATCGTAATCAAAAATTGCGCAATAATTTGCATGTTTATTTAATAGCCCCAGCACATAGAGGGCCCAAAATGACCCACCGCCCGGCCAATTCCTCCCCTAAAAAAACAGGACAAAGTGTCCTTTGCTTGTACACACACACACACACACACACACGCACATACACATATGTGAGTGCCATGCATTGCAGTGACAAACATTTTGGTAAATGCCGAAAACTGCGAAAACCTGCATTTGGTTTTCGCTTTTTACTGCTTTCGGTCACCCTCATTTTTGGGCTTTTACCCCCTTTTTTGCTGCCATTGAGTATCTCATAATGTGAGTATTTTTTTTCTCAACTTCTCTCCTAATGAAATTGTCTGCGGGCCGAGCTTTGTTCGCACTCTCTGCGTTTGTTTTTGTCATTGGGGCCAAAGCGCCAGCCGCAAAATTTTATGACACTCTAAAAACAAAACAAAACACAACACAAAACCAAAACAAAAAGCCAACAAAAGAGAAAACCCAAATTAGCGGGCAATTTTAGAGATAGAGGTTTTTGTTTTGGGCTTTTCAAATTGAAGTATCAAATTATCAAATTCTGAACAAGCAAGACTGAATCTGTGTTTGTTCAATCGAGCGAAACATAAAAACAAATTAAACTGAATATTCAAAATAGATCGTTTTAATTTTCTTTTCTGTTAAAACTGTTATTCAACTCAGGAAGCATTTGAAATAAATATAAAAGTTCAAATATTTATACACCCTTTCTTGACAATGCATAACATTTTTATAAAAGTCAAGTTAAAGTCAAAAATAAAGCAAAGCAAAGTTATACCAAAAATAAACATATTCGAATATTCGACCCAATCGTCATATATGACTTCACACATAAACACAAACACATTGGCAACACAAACATGGCACAATATTTTGACTGTTTCGTAATTTATTTGACATATTTATGGGGTTCATAAATACAGATACATATAAAAATGCGTTTATTTCTATTTGGCGTTTTTTAGTTTTTATGGCAAGCAATGAAACTGCAAACAACAAGAGCAACAAAGTCGCCATCAAAAATGTATTTATACGTGCAAGTTTGGACTACTTCCAAAGCCAGGGAGCATGTAACACAGCAACAACATATCATTTCACCCAATTTGTTGTTGTTGTTGTTGTTGTTATTGTAGTTGCAACCCTCATATACCGCCTGGTCAAAGTTGCAATAGCAAAACATAAAACATTTTTTACGTAATGATTTCTTTTTTTCGTCCCGCCCAACTCCTTTCGACTTATTTTTCGTTTTCGTTGCCCCCTTCGATGGGTCAGCTGGCTGAACTATTGACAGCTGATGATAAAAAATTGTTTGAAAAATAAACCAAAATCCTGGAATAACAGAGCGAATAAGAGAAGTGCGGGAAAAGGAAGGAGGTTTGGGATGGAAGCTGGCGAAAAATGGCCAGTTAGAGTTGGCTTAAAAAAATAAAATGCATTACTTTTAGGACTAGAGTTTGGCAAGTGGTGGGTGCAGAATGAAATAGTGGCAAAAGTTCGATGGGGACAACATTTTGGAAAGGGGAAATTGGTACTAACTAAAATATTTGAAATAAATATACAGAAAGCTTAAAACTAAAAAATATTTTATTGTTATTTATACAAATATAATTATAACACGAATATAAATGCAGTTAAGGATTTATAGAAATTTATGAAAATAGCGCACGGCTTATAGGTATTAAACATTTAATTTGGTGGCATAGTTGTTTCAAGGTGGTAAAAAAAAAACGAGTACCTTGTCGCTTTATTCGTTCAGCCAATCCATTCCATTCGAGTACATCCCAACGCATCCGTTGGCGAATTAAACATTTTCGCCTTTACACTTTTAATTTATGTATTTACTTTTCTGGTTTATTTGCCTTTCTTTCCGCCAGACGGCAACTTGGTTTTACCAACGTCCTGGGACTCGGTGGGCTTACCACCTGCGGCATTTTCCCTCGCCGAGCCTCTTATTGAAATTCCAAAGTTGAAATGACTGCAAAGTGGGGAGACGAGTGGGGCAGGACAAGGTTTTCGGTTGATGGTCGAGGTCCTGGCAATGGCTACAGTGTTGACAGCCATGTCAGTTACAATACCCATCGTCGTCATCAGTTGGTTGCCGTTTTCCCCCGTTGAGCCTCCCTTTTATTTTTTTCTGGTCGAGTTCTGTGGTCGCGACTCGGTCTGGAGTCTGCTTTGAGTCTGGTCTACGTACATATATATGTAGAATAATACATTTTTGGGGGCTTCACTTAAGTGTGAGAAGCACTTACAGGGCAACTTAGAGGAGACCTTATTTCGCCAGAATCCCATTCCCAATTGTTTGGTTTGTCTGTGTTGTCTGGCACTTTGTTTTGCTGCTTAACTTTTGATCAGCTTTTAATATAACTTAATGTGCCCAAATTAAATGCATTTCGTCTGTAAAGTTTTATTGCAAATTATCTCCGTTGAAGTTGTGGTCAATGGAGGAAAAAATCAATAAAAACGCTGGGGCAAACCACAACATAAATTTGTAATCATGTTTTGCAATAAGCTGTAGTAAGCCACCTGAAATAAAACTACTTATTGTGGGATTCACCTGGGCTTAGCAATTTATTTTGGCAAATTAATGTATTATTTTTTAGACTCATGATTAAATGGAATTATTTTCATAGGAAATAATGGGTAAAAATGTATAATAAAAGGAAAAAATCTATAAATAAAATTAGGAAATAAATCAATTAAATAAAAGAAAACGAAATGATGCAGTTTGCTAGAGAATTGAAATACAAACTTTAAGAGGGATGCAACTTAAAAATCTAATTTAAATTAGAAACGATGTGGGCTTCGAAATATGAATTTTGGTCAATTTTAAGCAAACTCATTTTGTGTATGTTGTATCATTAAAATTGAAAAAGAAATACAAATCTAAATAATTATACAGTTTGTAAGAGAATTGCAGACTTCTGCCTGAAATTTTAATACCTTTCAGAAAACTATAAATATGAACGAACAGCAATAGTTAAAGACAATAAACACGCACTTTAAGCTCCGCGAATACTTGATACTTATAGTGACTGCTAGAAAACAGAAAAATAGTCATTGCAAATGGCTTATAGAAGTCATGACAACAATGGAGCTACATAAAAAAATCAGAAGAAGACGGAGCCAACTCAGAAGTATAAAAAACACACAACAGAACATAACAATATGTATGATAAAGCATGTCATACAGTACCCTTCCCGCACTTAACTCCACATTCTCTCCCAGGATGCTCAACTTTTGTTGGGTTCTGGGCAGGTTGGAGTCCCTCCAGTTAAATGGTGAACCATTAAAAGTGGACATTTGTAAACATAAACTGACAGATAAACACCCAAAGCAGACACAGAACTTTCTCCTGCCCAGGGGAAAGGGGGCGGAAAGTGAATGATACGAAGAGTTGCCCCTGCAATTTTCATTGGTTTATATTGCACAGCCACACACATACACACACACACATATATCATGGGAAAGGTAGGGCGACCCACACACATCTAACCAGGGAAAGCAGTTAAAATACTTAACAAACGTAGATTGTAAAAGTTTTTTATAACAAAATAAAATGGCAGGGAAAGTTGTTGTTCTTGCTGTGGTTCTTCGGGGTGGGGATCGGGTATCTGGCCATCTGAGTATCTGGGTAGCTGGATATCTGTGTATCTGGGTAGCTGGGTAGCTGGGTATCTGGGAGTCGGGCGGTGGTCAGTGCTAAACAACAATGTGCAGCTGAAGGACAATTTTGTGCGCCCTGCGATAAATGCAGCCACATTGAGTGCGGGTCGGAGGGCACAACAAAATGTTCGCTCGTTATATGGGTCAATATGGGAAACAAAAGGATTGTGCACCGGTACGAACAGAAAAAACAAACCGAAGGCAACCAAACAAAAAACAACATGCACTGCGAAAAGTTTTTAATTAATAGTGGCATGAGCTTATTTGTGGGGCAGCAGAGCTAAATAAATATTTTTTTTGGTATGACAATACAATTAATTTAAAATGAATTACCATTCGTGGATCTTAAAGGTGTTTTATAAGCAAGTGTGAAATAAAACGAAAATATTATATGGGGCTGGTAGTTTATTTTAACTTAATCTAGATTACCATTTTTTTCAGTCCTTAAATCTCTCGCCCACTTTTTATCCAGGGTCCAAAACAAAGGGTTGTTAAAAAAATAGGAAAAAGTAAGCAAATCGAGAAATCGGTGGTTGGATGGGTTTCCACTTTGTTTGCAACATTTTGTGTTGTCATTTGAACCATCGAACGGAAGCCAGCGGTCGGGTCTGCTGGTCACTCGCTTTACAAAGGAAGGGCTGGCGTAGTAGTTAGCATCGAATCGAAATCCCAAGGTTCAGGGGAAAAGGTCAGTTTTCCACTCACCTTTCTGGTCTGCGGCTTCCTTAAGTTGCAGTTAATGTTGGTATTGAAGAGAAAGAGTTGTCACAAAACAAGGTAAAATAATCCTTCAACATTCAAAATATTTTATATGATATCCTGAATAATTTATTCAGAAACTATTACAAGAGTTAAATAATAAATACATTTGAAAGATGACTGCAAAGTTTGCCAATTGTATTTTTAATCGTATACATATTTTTAAAATACACTTTATATTTACGAGTCCGCCAGATTCATGGATATTTCACTTACCCCCAAACTCATTTTATTTGCAGATTTTATTGTGGCACTCAAGGATGTGTCGGTAATGATACCACAGGCGGTGAAACGTGGCAGCAACGCCCTGTTCACGTGTAATTACGATATGGAAAACGATACTCTATATTCGGTGAAATGGTATAAGGGCAAGCGTGAGTTTTATCGCTACACGCCCAAGGAGAATCCGGCGATGAAGGTCTTTGCCATGACAAGTGGCCTCAATGTGGAGGTAAGTACAGAATGTTCGCAGCGTAGACACTCTACCGCCGTGGATATGGATAATTCCCCTTAACGCCCTGTCCCCATAACGCGCACATGTTACTGCAGTTGCGTGTAAATTATATCCATAATGGCTGATTGCCAGGACCCCGGCTGGATTCGTTTTCATAACGACATTTGCCGGCTTATTTGCCCCACTGCCCGTTGTAATTATGCCAGTCCATCCGTAGACGGAACCGTTAAGAGTTGTTGGCCGTGGCCAATTAGTCTCGCTTGCGATTGACTTGCGGCTCATTAAAAAACAATATATATACAGATTGCATAAGTCCCCAGGGAAAAAAAATGGCAACAGTTAACAACAAGCGGAGCTTTACACTTTAATTTCATGTATTATATTTTTGAAAAAATTTATAAATTAAACTATAAAAATACTGGAAAATTATATTAGCTCCTTTTGAAAATGATATTTCCAATTGTTTTTTGACTTCAAATAATTTTAAATTTTAAAAGCTATTTTAACGGACTTAAGGTAAGGGTTAACTGGGAACCTTTAATTACTACAGCGAAATACACAAGGGCCAATTAGGTATCAGCAGCAACAAATTGGGTTAAACATTCGCACGACCCTCAGTCATTGATCCTCTGAAACCGAACCAAACTTTTCGCCGCCCACCACTTCCCCCAGTTAATTATGACTCCACTGCTTTTATGTGTCATATATTTATACTGAAAATTACGTATAAGATTAAATGCAATTTATTAAATTTGATTTTTATTAAGTGAATTGCTTTACGAGGTTGCCTCGTTTTCTCTTCACAAGATACAATTTCGCCAGCACTATAATCAAAATGAAATTCTCATTTATGTTCGACGAGTTTAAGCGCAGGCCAGAATATAAAAAATGTGAATTAATTAGGGATTTCAGATGAAAATAAGGGTAATTAAATTTCAAGCTATGCTCTTTCTTTCCGCGCTGTTTAAATCTTAAGAAAGCAGAAAAATAGTGAAGGAAGGGCAATCCTTCTGATTCAAAAGACAGACAGGGTTATTCATAACCCTGTGTCAAATTGCTTTGAGTCAAAGAAAATCCTAATCAAATGGAGATGACCCCTTTAGCATGAAAATTAACCCTTCACCTTTATGCCCTCAATTGGCAGTCACTTTCCATCAGGCAATATTCCATCGCCAGCTGCTGTGCTTTTCGTCATTCACAACGGCGAGCATTTTCATATTTTACCTATCTCATTTTTCACTTTATCCCCGCTGTCGCTGGTTATATTCAATTTCTATGCACCGCGTCCAGCCAACTAATTTTTATTACTTTCTCCATTTCCCCTCCGCTGACTTTCTCCGCTCGCTTTCTCCTTTTGCAGCGCAACCTTTCGAATCAGAGCCACGTCGTTCTGCAGTCGGTGCCGCTGAATATTTCGGGGAAATTTACATGCGAAATATCCGTGGAGGCGCCCACTTTCCAAACGGCCATGGTGTCCGGCGAAATGGAGGTGGTTGGTAAGTAAAAAGAATGTGCAAATTTCACAAAAAATATCTATGTATAGTGCTTAGAATTGCAATGGGCCAATGGAAATGCGAACCGGCGCGGTCGAGGCAAGCAAATTAATTAGAACAAATCTATTTGAGCCCGACGCCACCGGCTTCGTCCTTTTTCGGCTAATTTTACATTTCCATTCCTTGGCTAACGATGTGCCCCCCACTTTTTTGGCCCACTTTTTTGCAGAGCTGCCGGAAGAGCACACTGTGGTTACCGGGATACAGGCACGTTATCGCATCGGCGATTTGGTCGACGGCAATTGCTCAATTAAATACTCGAAACCGGCTGCTAATTTGACATGGACTATTAATGGTATTGTGGTAAGTTTTGGTTTCGTTTACCACTGTTATCCGCAGACGGTCACGCCCATTCCGCCCATCAATTAGCAGGCAATCCGAAAATCGGTGAACGGAGGGCTTTGATCGCCTTCTATTGATGGGCCGCCGCTTTTTCAATTAGTCATTGGTTAAGAGAGGGTCAGAAACTTTGCTTCCGGTTTGAATGCACTTTGCGTGTGAAAGAAACGCTGGCTAATGCAAAGTTTGCCGTTTATTTTGGAGAAATAGATTTGCAAAGGCTTCTGCAAACCAAATAAAAATGTATTTATTGCAAAAGGCTTTGGTAGCTTTTATCATTTATTACATACTCTGATTTTATGTACTTTTTGGGACACAAAATTCGTTTATCCAGGAGCTCGAAACAGATTATGCTCTCGAATGGTCAGCGAATCGTTTGAAATTGCACTCGGAGTTATTTATCAAAACATTTGCTTTTATTTGCACAGTTTCAAATCGGAGTACATTAAATAGTAAACTCTTTAATTGCCTCCTCGCAATTGATCAATCAACATGTTTGAAAAATAGCAAAAACCAGGTGAATCGTGGCCAGTGCCATTGGTTTTGCAATTTTTTGCGTTTAGTGTGCGATTTTTCATCTCTCGTCTGTTGCATACTTTTTGGCACCTGCGAGTGCGGCAGTTCCATTTTGCAGGCCCATCTTTGGCATTTATATTTGCCTAGAGCCACGTTCTCTTGCCCGCTTTTTCTTCACCGGCTATATACATTTTCTGATATGCCGTCAGTTTTTATGCCATTCGCTTTGGCCGGAATGGGCTGGGCTGGGCTGAGCTCTGTTGGGCCGGTCTGGATGTTTTATGGCCGCAACCACAGCAGTCGACTGTCGACTCCAACAGGAGGTCACAGTGCCTCCTGGCAGTTTGCGCCCAGCTGCTGTCATGCCTCCGCCTCTCCGCATGATTGCACAGGTGTGATGCGAGGCTCCTGCGATGGGTTGGTGGCATCCTGGGATTCTGGGTTGCTGGGATCCTGGGTTGCTGGGTTCCTGGGCGGCTGGGATGCCTGACATGTCCTGGCATTTTGCGTTCGGTTTTTCAAGAAACGTTTAGGTTGTCAGCTAGTTTTTCTCTGGCGTTTTTATGGCGGCCCAAAACATTACGGCCTCCTTCCCAGACTTTTGGCTGGTGTTATTGTTATTTTTGGCCCAGACAGAGGTTTACCTCGTGGCAGCCGGAGTATAGTAAATGCGTTGTCAATGTCACGAAGGCCCCTGCAACTCATATTTCAAACTGGCGACCTTTGTGTGTGTTTCAGTAGGTGAGAGATGAAGTTGTTAGTTTATACAGCTTATCTACTGTTTTACTCTAAAGTAAATGAAGTCGGGCTTTTTTATCTGTCATACGAAAGAAGCAAACCAATTCAATAATTAAAATGAAATAAAAAGAAATTAAAGCGGTATTTCTTGAATTTAATATGCACAGCATTTTGCTTATTCACTCTGAGAAGTTCTTAGGAACAGTAGGCGGTTAAAAAAATTTTAGTATATTTTAGATTTAATCCGAGATGAGATTAAAACAAGAGAGGAAGCTAGCTTCGGCAAGCCGAAGCTTATATACCCTTGCAGTCATCAAATATGTCGAACAAAACTCATAAAGGCTAGACAACATCGAAGCTAAGACGATTTTTCTATTCATTTTCCATATTTTTGACTATAGATCATATGGGAGCTATACGATATAGTTGTCCGATTTTGATCAAATTTAATTCGTAATTCAAGAGTCGTAAGAAAACTCTATATTCCAAAAATCATACTTGTCTGTCGAAAAACAACGATGTTATAATTTTATTTCCATTATTTCTATATAGATTTTTCGATCTTTCCTATGGCAGCTATAAGATATAGATGACCGATTTTTATGAAACTTTTTTCTCAATATAAACGTTCTTAAAAAACTTTATATTCAAAAATTCATGCTCATGGGATAAAAAACAACGATGTTATCAATTTATTTCCATTAATTCTATATATAATTTTCGATCTCTCCAATGGCAGCTATATGATAGAGTTATCCGATTTTGATCAAATTTAATCCGAAATTCAATAGCAGTTAGAAAACGCCATCTTGAAGAATTCAAGTCGATCTGATCAAAAACAACGGAGTAAGAATTTTTTATTTCATTCTCTCGTATGGGAGCTATCCGATATAGTCGGCCGATCCGGCCCGTTCCGACTTATATACTGCGTGCAATAACTACACACATTTTGGGAAAGTTTCAGCGAGATAGCTTTAAAACTGAGAGACTAGTTTAGGCAGAAACGGACAGACGGACAGACGGACAGACGTACAGACGTATTCCGATTCTACTCGTGATGCTGATCAAGAATATATATACTTTATGGGGTCTGAGGTGTCTCCTTCACTGCGTTGCAAACTTCTGGCCAAAATTATAATACCCTTTGCTCTGCAAGGGTATAAAAAGTGCAGTATGCAAAGTTTCGGATTTAATCGTCATCAAAACAAGCAATTCAGCAAAAAAAGCTGATATGGAAAACATATTTATATTTATAGATACACGAAAATAAAGCAGGAAAACACAAACTAACACAAACAGCACTTGAGTGTTGCCTACAGTGGGTGGCCGTGCAGTGGGTGCGGCCACTTGATCTTTTAGCTAACGAGCGCATTTCAACAGGAGCACCACTCACCCACCCACCCAACCAACCAACCACCGCCCCTCAGTCGTCATGTGTGCTGTCAGCTGTGGGTGGTGCGGGTGGTGCGGATGCTTTTGGGTGGTGGTGCGGGCCAGGCCATCGTATCTGCCAGGCACTTCAAACTAAACTCACCGCAAACAAAGTGGCCTCGTCTTCTCGACACAGCTCACCCATGTCCTTTGGCTCCTGCTCCCCATTCCTGGCATCCCCGCCATCCTTGCCATCACCATCACCATCACCATCAACATCGTCATCAGCATCAGCATCAGCATCATCTGCTCTAGTTAATCACTCAAGCGTAAATCTATTCATCATTCATAAGTTATAAATTTGCCTCAACCGCCCTGGTGTGGTTGGTGGTCGCCTTTATTTTTCGGGCCAAAGTGTCAGCTTTGGGGAATAGTTTTCGCTTTCATGCTGCAGCCCACTTCATTGAGAAAGGATTGCTGAATATCCACAAATTGATTTCGCTGCAAATTCGAGATGCCACTTGACATTATTCGTGATCCTTTCTTGTAGGTGCCGCCGCACCACATAAAGACGTATCAGATTGAAAAGCGGGAGAACAGCACCCTGGAATCGGTAACGAGTGCCATACATTTCATGGTCACCAATCAGCATTTTCTCAAGAGCCAGATGAGGGTAAGGATACAATTCCCACCGGTTGGGATCCTAATAATGACCACCTCCTATTTCCCGTTCTCAGCTGAAGTGCACCGCCAATATCTTCGACATCTTCAAGGAGGAAATGGAGAGTGTCATCGAGGAGGACCGACCCAGGATAATGGCCTCGGGCAGATCGTATGACATTAACAACTATCCCCTCGAGGAGCAAACGAATGGGGAACGAGGCGGCTATGAGGATCACAACGAGTCCTACTTGACATACTACTCAGGTGGGTACCCTAAATCGTATATATACACTCATACAGAAGTACCCTTGAATTATCAATTACTATCACTCAATTAATTAAGTATAATAAGTGAATTAAAATTTCAAAATTTGTGGCTTACCTATAATTTTATTATTTAAACTGAACCCACATAAATCCGATTACTTATTTATTGCCACATGACAATCCAATTATTTATTTAAGCAGACAGATATCCAATTCAATAACTCACCAATGCAAAGGGATCTGCCTGCGCATTCGATGGGTTCAAGCGATCCCATCTCGCGTTGATGGAAGCCAAGGCGAAAGCCTTTCGCAAACAGCCAGGACGGACTGTATCCCACTTAGTTCGGCCCACTGCATCCTGTCGATGCCGGGCACACAATGTAAATTATGTAAATAAAATTGTGCAGCATAAACATTCCGGCAGACTGCTAACAACCAGGAGCAACCAGCAAGCGGCAAGTGGCAAGGAGCAATGAGCAAGGAGGAGCAGGCTTATCGAATCAGATGGCGGGGAAATCAAATTGCTATAAACTTAGTTTAGACATGAAAGATTGTCGCGCAATTGCGGCAGACTGTGCAGAACGGGAGCGTGATTGGGGCCTCTGGCGAAAATGTGTGGGGACCTTTCTATATCCTTCTTTTTTCCCCCCCCGTTCGCCTTGCTGCCTTTGCGGTTCTCCCGTTGCCACTTACTAGCGACAACATTTACTTAACACCAAGTAACGACAACACCAGGAATAACAAGTGTGTAAACGCATTGAGCTGAAAATTGTATTTAAAATTGAGTTCACTGGCTTACCAATGGAACGAACTGGGTGAAAGCAGCATTGGAAGCCAGCGAAATACCAGCGTATATGCAACAATATTTTGGCCACAGCGCCCACGGCAAGCCCTCAAACGGAAGTTTGCAAGCCACCCTCGTTATTAAGTTGAAGGAATGGAATGGGGAGATTGCATGTTCCGATTCCTCGCCTGCATTCCGCGCTGAACTTTATGCAAATGCACTGTTGACACAACCGCTCGCACACAGGGGATCCCGTCTGGTTGAATATCTATTTTTTTTTTGGTAGGAAACTAGATTCCTTTAGCATTTCCCTTGGCTTCCCATCAAAACTCGCTGAAATGTAACATAAATACATACCGAATTTCTGTAATGCTGAGAACGCAGCGGGTTATTATATTTTAATATACTTTATAAACCACTAAAATCTCTTCAAAAATATATATAAAATTGGTTTCCCCTTAAACACTTGATAAAACGTTTAACATGCAATAATTTAAGAATTGGAGATGCTTGAAAAATACATTAAAAAAAACTCTTCGCTTTAGTGACAATGTGACATGTTTGCTAACTGAAACTAACCTTTCGCTCTTTCCATTTTCAGCGGATAACACGGCATCGGGAGCCTCGACAGCTGCACACGAAATCTTCTGGCGATTCTGGCCATTTCAGCTGGCAAAGCTCCCCATCAACAGGCAGCTGGCGTGGGCGTGGCACTGGATCTGTGGGGGCGGTGGTGGAACTGCTGCTCTTCTTCTTCTGCTTCTCGGGCCACTGGCCCATCAAATTATCAGCTGTCAATACACAAAGGCCGCGAAAGGGAAGGTGCAACAGCAACATTGCAGCAGCAACATCGATGCGACGGCTCCAAAAGCGGTAACATCCGCATGGGGCGTCAAATGCTTTTATAATTGTCAAATGGCTATGGCGATGCCAACTCTGAGTCGCGATGATGATGATGATGACTACGGCGATGGTGATGCGAAAATTGGCAGCACAAATGCAACTGCAACTGCAACAGCAACAACAACTGCTGATGTTGCAGATGTGGCGGCTGGAGGAGTTGCGAGCAGCGTTAAGCGGCTGTCAGCGACACTTGCGGGGGGCGTTCGAGGTGAAGGGGGCGTGGCCAGTTGGACGGATCAACGATTATTGATGACTCGACGACGGGAAAGGCGGGCGAAGGAATCGCAGACGATGGATGCGATGATGCAGTCACATTGCAGCGCGTGCTGATGCCGCATTGATGATGAAATCCATTTTCGAAAGTAGCTTAAGGTGCTCGCCACCGTGCAGAAAAAACGGCCCTTTTTCTTTTCCACCCGAATAGTTGAAGGGCATAATTAATAAACATTCGCACCCGTATTGATTGAATGAGCCAGCTGCATAAATCGATCTGGCCGTAGCTCTTAAGTGTTATATTCATAAGATGAGCTGGAAGGTGGAGAAATGCGGAGTAAAAAAGTATACCCTGCAAGTAGATATGGAACCGATGAATAATCCAACAGGAAATAAATTAATGTTAAGCTGGGGAAAATATAACGTATGGTGAAACCAATAATAAAGCGAATACCCTGTACGTTGCAAACACAAAACAATGTTCTCACATTTTCCTTTATATTCTTTATTCTTGGGTGCTTAAATTATTTTAGTTTCCTTATACGAAAGTTCTTAAAGCTAAATTAACTAAGTCCCAAAAACTTACTGACAATAAACAGTTTTTGAATTTAAAATCACTGAACTTTACTTTTTCTTATTTAAGCAAACCGAAGATAAATTAAAGACCCCAAAAAACACGTAGTAAAACAGAAAACCTCAATGATAGAAACATCATTAATCGCTGAAAGAAGACACACAAAAAGCACCGTTAATTTGGGGATTTGCGTACAGGGTAAAAAAAACGTGTGCTCAGTCGCTAAAACACAAAGCGTTCATTAAATATTTGTCCTGAAATTAAAACTCCCTGTGTTTTACATCAAGCATTCTACATATTCGCAAAAAAAAAAAAAACAAGCAAGAAAAAAAGGAAATGTGCACAGTGTACAGCAAGCTGAACTTTAGACTGCACTTGAGCTTAGCTTTCGGGTATTGTAGTGCATTTTAAAGTGGGTTTTGAAAGCTTAAACATTGTAAACAACTCAAGCTAAAGCAACAAAATTAATAATGATTTGTCTTCTCTTTGGGATAATGTCAATGTGTAAATATAAAGTTTGAAACAAATGTTATAATAGCCATTAATTAACATCCACTGTACAGAAAGGAACTTTTTACGGTTGTGGAAATGAATAGCAAAATTAATTATTGAAGCAGTCTTTTATTTGTAGAAAGACACGAAATCAAAAAAGAAGGGAATCTTTAATTTCAACTTTTGTTTTGGCAATATTACAACTTGAAGAAACAAACGATCATTTAAAAATTTTTGGCCAACAAAAATCCAGCGGTAAATAGTTCCTTTACCTTGAAAATAAATCAATGTAGTGCAATGGGTAATCTAAACTTCAAACAACCTAAACGAAAATGTAAATTTAAAACAAAATAAATGTTTTGGAAATCAATATGGTACATGTTAAATAATACATTAAATTAAAAAATAAATTTTTAAAGTTTCAATAAATATGTAAATAAAAAGAGAAGAACATAAATATGTGTAAATGTTAAAAACAAGTACATAATAAAAAATAATATACCTATAATAACCTAATGCATGCGCCAAGATTTCTGTAATCAAATCGTGTTGTGAAAGTTGTCTTCCCTAATTTATGCTCATTAAAAAAATTCGATGGATTGTTAATTTGACTTTTAATTTTAATATGGTTTCAATCGTAGCCATAAAATTATAAACAGGAGATATATAAGAATGTAAAATATTTGTTTAGTGTATATACAAATAGACATTAACAATTTTGACGTTACTGAACAAATATTACAAATATTAACCATGAAAGAGATATAAATATAGGATAAAAAACAGTAAATGTTTCTAGTTGCTAGGGACGAAGATAAGTCTTAGATTTATAAAGAGAATCAAAAAGAGAAGCAAGTGCATTTTGCATTAAATATAATATATTCATATCCCCAATAAATAACCAAAAATGTGTAAAGCCAGAATAAATGTAATAATAAGCTCTAAGAAAACCAAATAGTGATGTAAAAAACGCAGCAAGGAAATAAAGTAACCCCTATTCAATAAAAGCTTATGTCGCGGTAATTATTTAACAATTTGCAAAATGGGAATTGGAGGCTAATGTTTTTTATTTGAATGAAAGCTATACGTATCCTTTAGGAGCTCACTGTACCAGAGTCTTTTTGGAAGCGCCATCTAGAGAGCTTTCTGTTAACAAAGTTTCATTTAAGCTGATTCCGCTGACGAAAAACGGCGAATTCCCGTTATCCAGCTGACAGAAAGCTCTATCCCCAAGGTTGTTTATCAACTGGATCTAGTACATAGCTCCCCAAAGAACGTGGAGCTTTTAGATCTGAAGGTCAGTTGGGACATGGACCCACTAGTCGAGCTTAGTTTGATAGTCAGCGCGCTTCAATGACGACAACTGCACGGCGCGCATTCCACATTAATTCTATATTAATTCTAAAAATCTAAAAAAAAAAAAAAAAAAAATTAAAATTAATATCCAACGCGCGGTGCACGATTTCCTGACAACAATTTAGTTTCGCTTTTCATTGCATTTTCTTTTGTGTTTTCCACACACGTGTTTTTCTGTTACTTGCACTTCGGTAGTGGTTATTTTTTTTGGGTTACATTGAAAAAAGTACATCGACTGCCAACCGAATTCCCATTCGAACCATAATTTGACCAATTGACGGAAAATTAATTGCGAACAAAATTAATTAGCAAGCGAATAAATAAATTTTTTTACGTGAAACGAGCGTGTTTTTTGTCAAAACGATTTTACAATTGATTGTGTTTAAGTAAATTAATCTACGATATCTATGTGTTTGTGCTACGATCCGAAAATCCTATATTGCGGTAAGTGGCGTGTCTTTTGGCGGGAATAAAGTCGGTTTCTTTTTACACCGTATTTCTCTTCCAATTTTTCTGGCGCCAAAATGAATGAAAACGGTTGGCAACATTTTCAAGTTAACATGGGAACATTCTAATCTCTGTTAAGAGCTTGGAAGTTTAGATGTTAAGATTCTGGAACTGCTCTCCGACTTTGTTTTGTTTTGCGCTCTCTGGCTTGGAATCTCCGGTTTGGGGAGCGGTTCATTGACCCACCAACAACAATATTCGACAGATCTTCTCCTGCGGAATTCATCCGCTCTACAGTTAGAAATATTTCAGGTCCGAATGGCAAATGGATCGGCAAAATCGGGAGCCGCGTTCAGTTGCCTTCGAGCCGTACTTAGAAGTGGTAGCCCCCAGGAATTCTAGAGTCTTTGCCCCAAAAACTAATAATTATTCTGACGCAACCCCGACCCCGCGCAATCACACAGCTATATACTGATATATAGATCTATATATTGCGCAGATCACACTTTAAATGCCTTTCGTCGAGAGATTTCAACAAATACGTAATTTTGTTATGAACGTCTGCCTCGTCGAGGCCATCCAATTCGTCCAGGACCTCACGCATGCCATCTGCCTGGACCTCCAGGGCCTGTTCAATTTCAAGTAGAGATCCCCGAGCGATCTATCAGCGGTAAGTTACGCCATTTAACCTTCGAAAGTGGAAAGTGAAAGTGGCGATGAAATTACGGTTCTTGGGGTTTCTTTCACCCGCTCTTTTTGGGAAAAAAGAAAGGGAGAGAAAGTGCAAACCTCATGGCAGAAGCACTTCGCTTTGAGAGGTTATGTGAAAAGGAAACATAAGGAAGTTTGGGAAATATAATAACGAAAAAGTGGACAATTGTTATAACATCCTTGCCTACTTACATATTATCTAAAAACAATTTAAAATAATTTCCAACAATTTATTGGACTAAAATTAAATTAATTTCATGGATAAGACAAAAAAGAAATTTTCAAAAGTTCAAATAAAAATTATAGGAGAATTATCTGCTGAGTAAGAAACTAAAGGGTTAAATTCCATTTCCTTTTTTTTTATCACACCATTTCGGACATTTTAATTTTCATTACCAGCTCATCTCATCTCATCCATCACCAAAGTACACCGCATTCATTAACCAACCGCAAGCAACTGACCAAAACGCACGGACATCCAGATCCCCAATCTGAGACGGACATTTTGCTTGGTTTTTAAAACTAAACGACTCTTTGGTACCCGAACTTGCTGACCTCTGACATATCGCTTGATCCTCTACCGACCCACTGATCCATCCATCCATTCCCAACGATGCTGTCCTGTGCCTCCTTCAATAAACTGATGTATCCAACGGCCGCAGATGTGGCCAAATCCCCGATGGTGGGCTTGGAGGTCGATGGCGGATCCATGGGATCCCTGGCCAGTCTCCAGGCCCTTCCTTCGACCACCTCGGCGGGCAGTGGGGCTCCCAGCGAGACCCAGAGCGAGATATCCTCCGCGGACAGCGATTGGAGTGACATACGCGCCATCGCATTGAAGTTGGGCGTTCAAAACCCAGACGATCTGCACACCGAACGTTTCAAGGTTGATCGACAGAAACTGGAGCAGCTGATAAAGGGTAATTCTAGACAGATACAAAATGTACGAGTAGATCTTAGCTTGAACTATGTATATTTTTTACAGCGGACAGCGCCATTGAGGGAATGAATGGAGCCGAGTATTTCTTTCATGATGTAAGTGATCTGAGCTTTGCCTTAAGATAACCTTAAAATGATTCTAAAACAATAGTGAATATATAATAATCTTACTAAGCTTTAGCAGAAAAAATGGCAGAATGCCATGCCTTATAAATTTCAACATAACTTTCAGTAGTATCTTAAGTTATTTACTATTCGAACAAAATTTTTAAGTTAATTGATCCATGTCTTTTTTTCGACAGTACCACCATAAATTTCAGTGTATTACGCAATTAGTTTTAAGTTATTGTTAAGATCAACTTCAGGCCCAGCTGACTTGATAAATAGTATAAGAATCGCCAATACATATTGTTTTACTAGATCATGAACACGACGGATACGTATGTGAGCTGGCCTTGCAGACTCAAAATTGGTGCCAAGAGCAAGAAGGGTAAGGATATAGTCAAATTTAATATATCGATTAAAATGCTTATAGCTAAATTTTTGATTTAAGATCCGCATGTGAGAATTGTGGGCAAGGTGGAGCAAGTGCAGCGGGCCAAAGAGCGAATTCTGAGCAGCCTTGATTCGAGGGTGGGTTATATGATCTGTTATAGTCTGATCTGATTTATAGATATTCCCAACTTCGAGCAGGGAACCCGAGTGATCATGAAAATGGATGTTAGCTACACGGATCACTCGTACATCATCGGACGCGGTGGCAACAATATAAAGCGCATAATGGACGACACCCACACCCATATCCACTTTCCCGACTCGAACCGATCCAATCCCACGGAGAAGTCCAACCAGGTGTCGCTGTGCGGCAGCTTGGAGGGCGTCGAGAGGGCCCGGGCCCTCGTCCGGCTCTCCACCCCGCTCCTCATATCTTTTGAGATGCCCGTGATGGGACCCAACAAGCCGCAGCCCGACCACGAGACCCCCTACATCAAGATGATCGAGACCAAGTTCAATGTGCAGGTAAAAAAAACATTCCTTTAAAAAAGAGTAGTTTTCTTTAATTTCACAGGATTTTAAAATAAAATAAAAACTTTAATATTGTATTAGCTTATTAAGTATAACGAAGGACAAACAAAAAAATTAGTATATTCCCAAAACGAATCAAGTAAAGATTTTTAAGGCTTCTCATTTTTTTCAGCTCAGTGCGAATTTTGTACTAAAATTTTCTCTGAATTCTTTTTAAATTTTCGCAATATTTTTCCACCCTATTAGGTAATATTTTCCACGCGTCCCAAGCTGCACACCTCGTTAGTTCTAGTGAAAGGTTCTGAGAAGGAGTCGGCCCAAGTCAGAGATGCAACTCAATTGCTGATCAACTTCGCCTGCGAGAGCATTGCGGTAGGTTTAACGAAAATATTTCCACTTTCCACTGATCATCGGTTTTAATTGCAACTTTAGAGCCAAATCCTGGTGAATGTCCAGATGGAGATCTCTCCACAGCACCACGAGATCGTGAAGGGTAAGAACAACGTGAATCTCCTGAGCATCATGGAGCGCACTCAGACCAAGATCATATTCGCCGATCTGAGCGATATGAACGTGAAGCCGCTGAAGAAGTCGCAGGTGACGATCAGCGGACGCATCGACGACGTCTACTTGGCGCGACAACAATTGCTTGGCAATTTGCCCGTAGCATTGATATTTGACTTTCCGGACAACCAGAACGATGCCTCCGAGATAATGAGCCTCAACACCAAGTACGGCGTCTATATCACTCTGCGCCAGAAACAGCGGCAGAGCACTTTGGCCATTGTGGTCAAGGGAGTGGAGAAGTTTATAGGTGAGTCCAAAAATGGAATCAAGAAAAAATATATTTATTACCATTTATAAAAAATCATGAATATTTTGATAAATTGACTCAAAATGTATTATTACCACAACATAAAAACTGATTTATTCTTTTAAAAATATTTTTCGAAAAGAAAGCTAAAATTTTCCAAAAAATGTATAGGCTATGCTGAAGCATTCTTCAAACAAAAGTTTTATGATTTTACAATCATAATATTTACGACAGTAATGTTAGCTTAGAATCATATTTTTTTACAATCAATTTTTTTTTTTTTTGTCTTGCCTTGAATTTAATTCGGAGCCTCTTCTCACTCAGACAAAATCTACGAGGCCCGCCAGGAGATCCTGCGCCTGGCCACGCCGAACGTGAAGCCCGAGGTGCCGGACTTCTACTTCATGCCCAAGGACAAGGACCTCAACCTGGCCTACCGCACCCAGCTGACCGCTCTGCTGGCGGGCTACGTGGACAGTCCGAAGACTCCGTCGCTGCTGCCGCCCGCTCTAACGGGACAGCTGACGCCCTATGCCAACAACAACCACCTGTTGCTGAACGCCAATGGAATGGCCACGCCCACCGGGATATGTGCGCCCACTCAGAAATACATGCAGTTGCACAACAGCTTCCAACAGAGTCAAAGTCGCTCGCTGGTGGGTGGCAGTCAGAACAGCCACAACAACAACAACAACAATTATCTGCAAGTTCCGGGAGCGGTGGCGCCACTGAAACCGCCGACTGTCTCGCCAAGGAACAGCTGCAGCCAGAATACGAGTGGCTACCAGAGCTTCAGCAGCAGCACCACCTCGCTGGAGCAGTCGTATCCGCCGTACGCCCAGGTGCCAGGTGCCGTGTCCTCCACTTCCTCCGCGGCAGGATGTCCAAATCGGGCCCACTACTCGCCGGACTCCACGTACGGCAGTGAAGGCGGTGGTGTTGGTGGTGGGGGTGGAGGAGCTCGACTGGGCCGCCGCCTCAGCGACGGAGTGCTCCTGGGATTGGGTAACTCAAGCGGAGGCGGAGGCGGAGGAGGAGGTTCCGCGGGCGGAGGAGGTGCCCACCTCCTGCCGGGAAGTGCCGAGAGCTATCGCAGCCTGCACTACGATCTCGGAGGAGCCAAGCACTCGGGCCACCGCGCCTTCGACTTCGATATGAAGCGGGCCCTGGGCTACAAGGCCATGGAGCGCACTCCGGTGGCGGGGGAGCTGCGCACACCCACGCCCGCCTGGATGGGAATGGGCCTGAGCAGCACCTCTCCCGCTCCCGCCGCCCCGCTGGACAACGGGGATGGTGGTGCGGGCGGAGGTGGCTCCACTGGGTGGCGCCTCCCGCCGGGACTGGGCTCCCCCTACGGACTGAGTGCCACCACCGGACTGCTGGACGCCACGCCGGTCAACCGGCGGCTGCAGCTCGCCCAGTACAAGGACATCCAGACGCTGCTCACCAGCTTGGGTCTGGAGCATTACATCAGTGAGTAGTTCCCAACGAAAACTGACCGTTTTTACTTTTTGTGTACCTTGACGTCTACTGTATAAAGCTTCATTATGTTTTAGTGCCTGGACTGGCGAGAGTCTTTCATTCTACACAGCTTAAAGATCGGAAAATAAAAACAAGGTTCCAAAGACAGTTTAGGCTTATAACAAAATAACCATTTGACAATGGTTCCTGTTTTAAACGTTTCTTTCTCTTCTTCACGTTTTACTATTTATTAGGCGATTGTCGGAAAAGGTCTTAACTTTGTTGTGATTTTAATTTAAAAATGTTATTAGGAAGGGGTAAGTTTTAATGGATATATCATTCTTCCATACTCTTAGAAAATTGATGGATTTTCTTTCTCTTCTTAAAGTTTTTCTATTAATTAGGCGATTGTCGGAAAAAGGTCTTAACTTTGTTGTGATTTTAATGTAAAAATATGGTTAGAAAGGGGTAAGTTTTATTGGATGTAGCATTTTTCCGTATTCTTAGAAAATTGATGGATTTGATAGTTAGGAATAGTTCACAATTTATTTTGAGGCGATGTGAGTATATTTCTTCGTTGTAGTAACTAAGCTTCAAAATATCCTTCAAAAATGTATTCGAATTGGTGAAAGACTGAAGTGATAACTGGTGTTTCTCCTTGCAGAAATTTTCGTGCTGAATGAAATCGACTTGGAGGTGTTCACCACGCTGACCGAGGAGAACCTGATGGAGCTGGGTATCGCGGCGTTCGGAGCTCGCAAGAAGCTGCTGACGGCCATTCACACGCTGCTGGCAAACGAGGCGGCCTGCAGCACAATGCCCAGCAGCAGCTCCTCGCAGAACTCCTCCTCGCCGCGATTTTCCGGCAGTGCGGCCCCGGGCGCTGAGCGCCGACCCTCCAACCAGTGGTAATCCCCACTGGGTCCTTACTACTTTCTATCTCTATTTGTTTTTTTGCATGCCCACTTAGTTGGTAGTCGTAAGATCAGGAGAATCGGAACGGAAAAAAGATATAGGAAAAAAGGATGAAAAGGGCAAACTCACTGGGCGATATCTTTCCCGATAACTCAGCCTTGACCTTGACTTATACTCGCATTTGTACTCAAATTCCAAGTAGCAGAGCTGCGCACGGGGAAAACGCCCAGCAGTTTGCCAATAGGTCGTTGTAGCCTCTATTTTAAGCAATTAATTTATTTCGAAATTATTTATACAGAAAAAGAGAAAACCATCAACAAAAATATTGTGAATTATTTATGAAATCTAACTCAACGAAATCACGTATTGTAAGCAATGAATTTATGTAAAATAACTGAAAATTTAAAAAAAAAACACATAAAAAAGGAAACAAAAGCATGTATTAAGTGATAAGCAAAACAGTCACGCCCAAACATTTGATATGAATAAATTGATGTCTATGAAAAACTAATTAAAGCCATGATTTTTCACTTGAGCTTCGTGTCCAATGAATTCAATTAGGTAAGCTTATCTTTCGAACTGAGTAATATTATTATGGAAACATTTAAAAAACATATTCAAGTCATTCAATTGTACACACAAATATTGTGCATTAAGTACATAACTTCACTAATTTCTAATCCAACCTAGTAAGCAACTAGAATCCAGGATAATGACTTTACTGTCTCCAGTTGTCTGCATAATTTGTATTGCCCTGCTCCCAGCCTCGAAGTCCTGCCAAGAAAAGACTCCCAAGACAACAAAATCGAATGTGTGTCCTTACACGGAGGAAAGTCTGAGGCGAAAAGGGGGCGTGGCTGGGCTAATGAACTGGAAATGTTTTGCTCCAGTTGCCGGTTGTTGCTACCGTGTTGCGGTCATCAGCATAATTGCAAATTTTTATGATTATGACATTTTGGGCGCAAAGTGCTTCTGCCAATGGCAACTAATTTCTGCAGTTATCTTCGTCCCAGACTGCCGGTCATTTACATGGGGTTATGTTCCACTTAAGTGTTTCGAGTAGGCTTCTCTCCGGAACTTTTTGGCAAGCGATTTGATTTACAATTATGCCTGATCCTGATTTGGACTTGGGTTTAGTGTCACTGACCAGACGGAAAGTCGCCAGATTTGGTCACTGCTGACCGTATATCAATGTTGCTCTCATTTGAAGCTAAAATTAAATGGGTTGTCATGAAATTATGAGTTTGGGAGTGATATATGTCCCAAAAAATGTACTAATCAACGGTTATTTCACGACATCATGCATATTAAAAGGAAAGATTACTAAGTGATCATTAAATTAATCATTTTCTATTTAAACTAATAAAATTTTAAAATGATATTTATAAATATATTGTTAATTGTAGTTATACCTTAAAATAATGAAGGACTGCTTGAAGGAGGGGAAATCGTGGTGGGTATACACAAGCAGTAAATGAAGCAGTATAAACATGGAAACCAAGCAGTGCGAAGGGGAACCAGTCACAGCATTCCCCTCTGCAAAGCAGTTCAGAAATAACAAATATTTCTCGCCCTGAAAAACCCACCACTCAGTTTTCTCTCTCTCCCCTCGCTTTTCCATTCGTTTTCCGCCGAAGGACTTCGGATTTTCCGAACTGCCTTCGGGCTCTTTTCGCCAATTGGGAAATCTGTGCACAGGACTCGCAGTGACGCGAATCCTGCGACTCCTGCTGCAGTTTCAATTGCGTTGTCCTTGCGTGAGGACGTGCGTAGATCACCATACATTTTTCGCAGTATTACGAACATCGGCCATTCTGAACAGCAAAAACAAGAGAAAAAATTCCGAAAAAAAGAACCGAACCGAACTGTACTGAACTGAAACCGCAGGATTGAACTCTTTGCTTTGGCGTGCGTGTGCCCGATGCAGTTTTTGTGTTTTTGACACAGCATTTACCAAAACAGAAGGCGGAAAATAGGAAAAAGGATAAAGGATCCGGCGAAGGATCTGCCATAGTCAAAAACTGTGTGTGCGTGTGTGTGGGTGAGGCTGTTGCTTCTTTCCCCTTTGTGTCCATGTGTGTGTGTATGTGATGTGTTTGTGCAGTCACGTGTTCTAAGGTGATTTTAACGAGTTCCGTGATACGCGAAATGAGATAAGGAACGAGAAAGGAGCAAAATCTGAGGAGCTTAGGCGGACAAAAAAAAAAAAAAAAAAAAAGGAGCAACAAGGAGCCAGAGCCAGAAACAGCCAACAACCAAATCCTCGTTCGCCAGGACACACAGGATACTCGCTCGTTGCGCCGCAAAGGATTCGCAGATAAATCAACCGAAAATTGCATAAAATAAAATTGTTTGCCAAATTGTGCGCAGCCAGAGAACAAAGAAAAAAGAAAAACAAAAGCAGAAATCGTATGCAAATACACATGTGAAATATGACTGGCGAATTACATTGACAATTTTGTGGAAATATTTTTGGAAAAAGACACAGTTAATAATAACCTGAAGGTATGATTACATTCTATAATACTATGACTTAGGTTGGGCATTTATATTGGTTTACTAAAAATTAAATAAAATACTATACTCGTGTGTACTTCTTTTGCACTTATAATCAAAGAACTTATCAATACAAAGGAATATTATTCTACCAGTTCCAAGGACCCCAATAGGAATATAATTTATTTTAAGTTCAACAAACTTTTATTATAATTTAAAAATGTTTATTTTTTCGAGAGCATGCAGGGGGATTCGGGATAGTTGACACACGAGATCACTTAAATAAAACCTCGCTGCCACACTCCTGGGAAATTCCTCTGTGCTTGCGCTTCTGTAATTACATATATCGCAATCTTCGACGTTTAATTTTTGATGCAGAACTTTCCTGCGCTTGGCAAGCCAATTTGAGGGGCAACCTTTCACATCGCACATCCCAGCCAGCGGAAGATAAGCCGGAAGATAGACAGAGGGGCGTGCCAGGGACTCATCCAGCAGGCAAACAAAACTTGTCAATTGCCAAGGAGCGTGTCTCCGGGACCCCGGGCGCCTCCTCTTCGTAAACATTTCCCATAGTTGCCGGGAAACTAGGCAACAATGTCTTGAGCTCGGCTCTGCTTCTTCAATTTCCCCATTTTTTGTTGATGGAAAATGTCAACTGCCTGGCAGAGTTTTTCTTCCCCACTTTCGGGCCGACCCACTGACTAGGCAAAAATCGTATTTAGTGGGACAATCAATATCGGATGAGGGGAGAGGGCAGCCAGTTGGGCGGCAGTCAAACATTTATTTGATTGACTGATTGATATGTGAAATGATTTATTGCCGCCGGAGGTGGAGATGGGAAAGGAAGGAAAGTGCAGGCAAGTGTCCGCAAACAGCTGAGTCGAAAAAGTTTCGAAACACAATGGGGAAAACCTTTAACTGGTAGAGTAGAAACATTTATTTCCGGCTTTATCTCTGCCATTTTCCACAACTCGCTCTGTTTTTGTTGAAATTTCCGAGCTCTGTAAAAATTGCTTGGACGAAACTTTTTCGCACGCTTTATGTGAGAATAAAGTAAATAATGAAAGCTATTTAGCACAGCCAAGGGGCGCATTAAGTCGTCGCCAGCCTTTTCGGATTATCCTGCCAGCGGCTTAAAAATAACAACAGAACCAAAACAAACAGAAAATCACTGTGAAAAAATGTTAATTTACAAACCGTTTTGAAAGTGTTACAAATTCAAATTGAAATAACACTGAATGAAATCTTGTTTAGTATCACATATCACACATATCACATGTAACTTTACATCTTTCAAGCTTTCTTTTAACAAGCAATAGCATTTAAAAATTATTATTGTGCTTCATAGAAACACAGGTGTTTAAAAAATGGTTAAAGAAAGAGCGACAAAAAATGTTAAACCTTACAAATTTTTCCGAATTCCCTTGAAATATCTGCAAACAATTTCCGATTCAGATAAATGGTGTAGGGTTTTCTTTAGACAAGCCTTTCTAATATATTTTCCCGTGTAGTATCAGGCAAAAGAAGTAAACTGTGACCAGTGTTTAATGAGCTGAGTCCTGATCTGAGCTGCGGATGACCCGCGGCTGCCGTTCGCCAGTTTGCCGTTCAGCTGGAGAAATTTCAGCCATTTTTTACTGCCACCTGCAACGGTGTCACATTCTTTTCTCGGCCAAGCATTTCTCTTCTAGCCCTGCTCCTTTATTTTCTTAATTTTTGTTTTTCGATTTGGCTACGTCTGCTGCGGCTTATGAAAAGAGCGGTGCAAAGAAATTCAGGCAAAAATCCCGAAGAAAAGCTTAACCAAGCTTGGGTATTAATAAGTTTTTTCTCCTTGTGCGAGTATTTTAGAAATTCTTAAGCATTTTCTTAAGTGGCTGGAATCATAATTATTTTTACTTAATTTTGTGAACAGATTTATGTGCATATTATCCGTGCAGATAATCGGATTACTACTTTGTTGAGTTCAAGTCATTATTGCTGGTTATCCCAAAGGTATTTGCTTTCAAATCCTGGCTTCGTTATCTCGGTTGAGCATTTCCAAATGCTAACAATTGATTCAATTAGTATTGGTATACTGCGTTAGTCTTGATTTCTACTGGGCATTTAATATTTATTGCTTAATTGAATTAAGCCTATCAAGTCATGCGAATTATTCAATTAACTTATTTATTCACATGCCATGTATCATATTTGGTTATGATTTGGCTTGGCGAGTTCAACTGCAAAACTCATTTAAAATTGATTTGCCAAATAATATTTAGAAGTGAACTTAATAACTTTAAGCTTCAAAACGTTTCAAACTTTCAACCATGTTTATCCCCGATTTTGAATAATCTCTTCACGAAATAATGTGAGAATATATTTTGCAAAATATTAATATTCTATTTTTCATGCAATCAATTTGTATCGATTGTTTTGCGGTTATTAGAACTCCCGCCATCAATTTTAAGCTCGAATTGCCATATCGCAGTAAACTTTTGCTGAGCTCCCAATCCTAAATTCTATCTTTTATGATATATGGATTGGAAACGAAAGAAACTTTACAAATTTTCCACCGCCGAGATGCACAACTTTTTCTTCCGACAACACAAATCTTCTACCGACTCAAACTTCGCCTCAACCAATACAAAAACATGGCGGTACAAAAGACCTTTGGGCGATGGAAAAATATCTCATATGCAAATCCATTGTTGTTATTGGCGTGGGCACTGGTTCTCCAATTTCAAGGATCTGTTGGGGCTTCCTTGGTTGTGGCAGTGTGTGTAATTCAGGACCTTGTTGCCTATTTTTGGGCGCTAAAGGCGCATCTCAAGTGCAACATTCGCCAACCGGAGGAGAGGTATCTGTACCGAGCATATTTGTTGTTCGTTTGCGGCTGCGAAAATGTTGTGGCATGTGGAAATTTATTTCATAATCTCTGCAACAAAAATCCCCAAACTGCAGAAAAAAATTGGAGGGAAACTTTTGCATATGAGCGGAAAAATTGGGGTGGGGAACTACGAGTAGCTAAGCATGTAATTTATATCCTTGAATGGCCCCCCCTTTTACCCCCTACAAACTCACTTTACTTTTGGCTTTTCCCTGGGTTTTTTGGTATCTGCAACTATGCAGTTATTGCCGATGTCCATGGGCGTGGGTGGGGGAATTGTTAGGGGGACACGCCCCGTTAAGTTTTTAAATACCAAAAAATAGGAACATAAACTGTTACATTTTTTGTTTTGGAGTGCGCTACTTACAGGCTTAAACACTCTGAAATTAAGTGTTTAACATTTACAGATAAGGAACAAATCTGGTTTCTTTTAAAGTTTGCATGTAATTTATTGCACATATTAATAGCTTTAAATTTTTTTAATATTTTACTTTTTACCTGCATGTGCGCCTCTGTTCTTATTGCAAAATATCCCATTTTCTGTGGCGGAAGTTTTTGCGAGTATTTTGGTATTGGACTGAGCGGTCATAAATTTGTTTCTGCTCCTGTTGTGGTGTCTGGCCTTTCTGCTTCTGCATTGCTCCAGTTCCAGTGCGGTACAATTTTATTTGACCACATAAATTGTTTACCAATTTTCACAAGTTCTGTGCAACTCCATCGCCAGCTGTATGTATGTATGCCTTTTGCCTTTGAAGGCTAAAAGCGGTTTAATCGGTCTCATCCTCTCAGCAAACCTATTTTGATTTAGCACTCAGTGGCGAGCCATCTATCTTGGTGGGTTTAAAAATGTATTTCCCGGCCATTGTATTGCCGTATCTTAGTTATTTTGTAATCGAGCAATCTGTGAAATGCTACAGACTCAACAGCAGCAGATGTCATGGCAATTGGTTAGGATGACTGGACATATTTATTGCAATGTAGTCTTGCAAATTGCGCTGGATAAAAGGCAGCAGGAGTATTTTGAAAGGATGACCCTTCAAGGATTTATGAACGTGATTTTTGAGATTAAAAAAGGGGCAATTTTTAGATCTGGTCGAAGCTTAAGCACTAAGCTTTGGTCAGTTAAATCAAAATATTCAGGCAATAAAATTCTAGAAGAAAAAGTAAGCAATAAAAAAATGAAAGGGAAACATTTCATTTAGTTTTGCATTTTTAAATGTTACTTCAAGGAGCTCTTTGAACAACAAGACTTAGTCTGAGAACCAAAAATCCTGTTCACAAGTCCGGAAAATCACCAAGCCCATTTGGACTCCAGATTGCACTGGTTTCCAGTTGGATCCGAAAGAGGGATTTAAGAATCTGTTTCTTTCACTTTGTTACTTAGCTTTGGTCGAGATGCAATTAACAAAAGGTACACGGGCTTAAGGGCAACGGATTTTTATTATACCCTTTTCTGGTTTCGTTGTCCGGAAAAAAAAAAAAAAAATTGGAGAAAGGGAGGACGAGAGTGTCTGGGAGTGCAGTTTGCGGCTTATCGCATTGGGAGCAGACTTGGCCCTTTTGTTTGTCGCACTCCGTCGTTTAAGTTTGTCAATGCATAAATTAAAAAGTTGAAAGTTTTTACCCAATTCCCCGCCTTTGTGGGTTAGTTTTCTGCTGACCTTAATGAAGGCAAAGCAATTAAGCCAGGGCTCTGCAAAGTTAATGGAGTGTACACAGAATAGCCATTCGGTGGAGTCTTTGGGCCATGTGAGCATCGCTGGGGATTCGCATACGAGATCTTCTTGGCCTGGCTTTTTGGCCCGATGCTGTAATACAATTTGCTGCCATAAAAGATTACAACTTGTTAAAGTTCCTCCATCGAATCCTTGGGCGGCCCTTTCAAGTCGACCAGGGGATTATTATAATCCGATTTTCAACTTTAAATGTGCTCGGGAAAAAAGTCAAGAATTTATGGAAAAATGTTATGCTCTCACAGTCGAGAAAGGAGCATTTGATGTGCAGTTAGGCAACAATGTGTTTTTCGTCCACATCCTCATCCCTGTTAATGGCAAACTTTTTACTCCGACTTTCGGGCGAGGAAAATCGCTGCAGTTTTCTTTATAGTTATTACTTTATACAGTTTCCCCTGGTTCCTTTCCGGCTGATTACAAAATTGCTTTCAATACTTTGGCCGAAAGTAGTGACTATAAGAAACTCACTTTGCAACACCTGCCTCAAGGAAACCAGTCGGCCCAGTCGGTTGCATTGGCCAACAAGAGTTACATGTTGCAGCCAAAGTTTAACGCATTAAGAGCCGGTGTTGTTGTCTGCCACGGTTTCGGCATTTTGTGGCTCGATTGTGGGTGTTCGCTGGAATATTTCGGGGTTTTACTTGAGATAAATTTCATCTTCCTATGAGTTTCATGCTTCAAGCTTAGAAACACCTTAGACTCTTGCAACTTTGTTTATTAAAGCTGAAGTTAAGATGGAATAACCACGGAAGGTTAAGCTTTCAGGAATAAGATATTATATTTTCTTATTTAAAGATTTTAATGTGAGAAAATTGTATCATTATTTTCAGCAAAACCTTGAAAATACCTATATCAACATGAGGTTTCCACCTATCGTATACCAAACTGCTTTTAGCACAATATTACTGGCAATCACATTAGGTAAGTGTGTTCAAATAAATTTAAATAAAACGACAATATCTTCATATTATTCATTGTATGCTGGTTAAAAAACTATCAATACATTTACTTTGTTTTAAACTGATGGCAATTTGCTCTTTAATGTCAAGCTACAAATTGGTTTATTATTTCCATAACGTCGGTCAAATTATTACATTTTAAAAAATATTTTAGTTATAATGTATGCAATATGCAAAACAAATTTCAACCTTAGCCGAACAAAATATACAATTATTAAACAAAGTCAATGATAAACATTGAAATGCAATTATGACAGGAGAAACTAAAAAAACAATATATATGGACATTACAGTATAATACCAATAATAGTTTACGTCCTAAATGTTACTAGTGACGTTACTCATAAAAACATAAATTTATGCCAATTGCATTAAAATAACTCTTTAAATATTCACAACTATATTTAATTTGAATGGTTTTAAAAAATATAATTCACAATCCTAATTATTGAAATTAATTATGCATTAGTATTTACACAAAACTGCAAAAGTTAAGCCTCTTTAACTGAGATTTCAAAGTGCGCATAGAAACTGCGTCCATGTAATGACAATAAAAAATTAATCCTCTGTCAAAAAGTGCTCATATTCTCCGCACATAAATTATGCTAATCAATTTCACAAACAAATTGAGACGCACTCATAATTCTCGAATTTTATTTAAAGTGTGGCCACATTGAGATGGCAATACTTTAAGCCAATAACTCATGCTGTCGGCGTCTTTTGGCGAACGAACAAACATACTATATAGGATTATATCTGGGCGAGCTTTACACACACTTCAAATTTTTATTGCCTCGTCTTTGCGGCTTTCACCGCCGTTGGAGGTCCTCCTTTTATTTACCAGCGCACATAAATTTCAAAAACCGCACGCACAGCCGAACGTACGTACACATAAATATTTCAGCATCTGTTGGAGGGAACTGGGGGACTTCCAAACTGATTTATTCAATAAATCACACAAGTTGCTGCCACCACCACCGCCATTCACCTGGCCTTAACCCTTAGACGTGAGCCGCAGATTCGAGTTTTATCTGCATCTTTCGGCCCAGTCAATCGGTCTACAGCAGACTGCCAGGACACATGTCAATAAAGGTGGGAATATATCACACAAATGCATTTGCCTTGCTTTTGGCCCCAAGTCGTAGGCGTTCTCTATGGGCAAAGCGGCAAGCTGACAGTTGATTTCTCTCCTATATATAGGTATGTATGTACGAGTACACTATATATATCTATCGCCCACTCCATCAACAGAAACTTAAATGACGGCGAATACATCAAACGACATTTAAGCCCTTCGCGTGACTGAAATTTTCGACTCTTTGTCACTCGGAGCGATCTGGATTTTGGCCTGTTATCCTTTTTCACAGCTCCATCCTCCTTGCTGCTGGCACACGCCATTTGTAGGTGTATATACTCGTATGTGGGGGGACCCTTGATAAATGCCTCCAACGTGCCTGGCATTTGTTTTGTGTAGCATACCTTTTCGGGCTTTATTTAGTGGGGCCCACTAGTTTTCTGTAGGCTGTGGATGCTGTGACAAGTGACTGTCGGGCTTAGCTTTCCCTACTTTCCTTTTGGGCTCGAGACAAAATAACAGCAGCTTTAGGTTGTGTAAAAATGGGATTACAACAAGTTAAGCTAAGAATACAGCAGAGGAAATAGTTAGGAGAGTTTTGGGTTTAGTTTCACGAACTATTAAAGCTATGCACAGGTATTTCTATTCCCATTCTTTACTTAGTAAAAATATATGTTAAGTTGACAAGGCTCGGCTTTTAGAACATATTTTTGAACACTTTCTCGATGGTATATACTTTTCACACCTCTCCAATTTAAGGTTGGTGACCAGCAGAATGCTCGTTTTAAAACGTCCTTCAATACCTTTGCCTTTTTATTGCAAATAAGCCCCATTGAACCATGATATGCTCACAAGCCAAGCATCGCAAGTTCGGAACGCCCACGTGTTTTTCGTTTAAGCCTTCAGTGGGCGGGCAGGACATTAGCCATGCAAAAAGGACGCAGAACAAAATCCGGCCCACACCTGAGCGTCTGCGTCTCGCCATACGTTCAATGTCGCACAAAAACGTTTATTAACCTGCCATTATCGAGCCGGGGCCCAAGTGCACTCGATGTAGACGACGACATTGTACTAGACTCCGGGGACCTTCACTTCGCCCAGCCACAACACAATGCTCCCCAAAACACCCACAATTTACAGGGACCGATAAAAATCTCCAACACGCACAACAATCGGGCAAACAGCAAAATGTTTTTGTACCTCCGCTTTTTGGCGGGTTGGGGATTCGACTTCGCTTTATGGCCAAGTACCGAGTACCTGGCTTACTACACAAGTGGCTAATTAGTTTGGGGCTACGTAAATCGGTCCTGCACTTGATTTGCTTTTAATAACCACATGCCCAGAGTGCTTGCAAATTTGTGACAATATTATTTCCATTTCAGTTTGTTTCAAAACTCGCGTTAATGTCTTAATGTTCGGGGAAATTGTCATTTATTTGGGGGATTTTCTGGCCTTGGGGTTTTGATTTTGGGGCGAAATTAGTGGCTATCAAGCACAATAGGCTGTAATTTGTATTAACCCCAAATGTGACTTAAATTGCACGGCACCGGAAGGTCAGTCAAATGGAAAGGTGTGGCTTTCCCAGACTTTATTGATTTTATTCCTATGAGCTCAATTAGATCATTTTCTAACTGAATAACGAGCAATTGTTTCATGTTTCTACTTCCCTAATTGATTGAAAACCTTTGGCTTACGTTGTAATATATAGAATTTCACCTGTCTTTAACCTAATAAATCAATTTGAGCAATTAGCCAAATTCCTTTGATAGTTTTATTTACCTCTCAGGAAAAGACAACGAACCCGAAGACACCGGCAAACAGGTCACAAATTGTCACCTCGAGTGGCAGCTTCACCCCGTCTTTAATTAAACCTCAATCGATGCAACCTCTTCGGTTGGAAAATCAATTTCTGTATATATTATCGAACCAATTACAGTGCATTTCGTGGCGTAGAATCCCAGATCCGATGTCATCCCGTCATCCAACCAACCACTCCTCCACTCGAGACAGGCCACCGCACAGCTTCCCCTTCGAGGATGCTTGACTTGGCTTCGCCTTTCGCTTGGCACACTTAAAACTAACAGGCAAATCAATGGACGAGGGGGGAGGGCAAAAAATATGAATAAGCTGAGCTCTGCCAAAGTGTTGGGAATTTCGAATTTGAGCCGTTTGCTCCTCTAGAAAAAAAAACATAACCAAACGCCAAACGAAACCATACAAAACGACAGAGAGAAACAAAACTTTAAGAGCACATATTGGGTACAAAAATTTGTTGTCAGAAGTTCAAAGTTTAACGCAACCTTAATAAAGAAAAAAGTATAATTGTAGTGCAATAAAATATCAAATACGTAAATTGAAGTTCAAAAATCTATTTGTCAATTAATCAAGGGTTCAAAACCCGAAACCCTGATTTTAGATTCCTCTTTTTCCCCCAGTGCACCGATGGGAACCCCCAAACAACTATTATTGATGCAGAGACCTGTGCGGGGGAGAAGGGGGAATGAGTAGGTGGTTGGATCGTTACATAAAATGCATGAAAATCTCGATTCGGCTAAGAGCAAAGGGGAAAAAAGCGGGCCAAAAACCGTGCAGTGGAAAAGGACGAAAAGAAGGGATACAAATTGAAGCTTTAGCCACGACTGACAAACTGCAGCTGTAACGGCCAAATGTTTTTGGCCATTTTATTTTTCATTTTCGCTTCGTTTTCGTTGTCAAGCGGATGGGATGAAGCTTAACAATTTTTATGGCGACGTCCCATCGAGGGAGGGCCTGCGAAATATGGCTGCAGCCATGGGTTAAGCGGCTTAATTGCTCTGGTAAGGTCAATTCGGGGATGCAAAGCCCTTGCAAAAGGAAAACTATTTCCAGCGGCATGCCTGTGGGACAAGGGCGGATCGAGCCATGAAGAAATTTACATAATAACAGGAAACAATTTCGGTTGTGTGCGAGTGCGTGCCCTATGCGACCATTAGGGTCCCATCCGATCCCCCGGTCATTGGCATCGCATTTGGTTTGGGGCCCAAAACGGCGATGCACCGGAAAACGATGTGTTATTTTTGACAAAATGCAGCAGGAACGCAAATCGCAGAGAGGCAAAGTGGGGGGAAAAAAACATAGATATTTGTGGATGGTTTTGGCAATACTTTTCCAAAAAGCACTCTTTATAAGTACTCATTTGAATTTTAGTTTCGAATTTCATGCAATAGAACAAAAGCGAACGTAATTAGATTGCTTTATAAACGTTTTAAAAAATATTTAAAATATTTTACTTTAGGAACGTATTAAAGCAAATACCAACAAAGATTATAAGACAAAAACCCTTGAATTTATGCCACACACAACGCCATCGTTTTGCATATTAACGAAGGATATTATATATCTTGTTTAAGTCCCCCGCGGAGCGTTATTGTTTTTAAAACACACTAATTATCTGGCTCCCCTCGGGCTCGCGACAGATTTGCATGCTCGAGAATTTTAATATACGCATGTATGCCGACATTTATGGCAGCCATTACCCGGTGTTGTAGCTGCTACCCGATCCTGCTCCTTGCCACGCTCGCAAATAGTTAATAATCATTATTAATATCTACGTGGGTAAATGCCTGGCGCATAACACCAAAGCGTTGCACATGAACGCCAACCGGGTCGCAGAGACAACAATTTTCACCTCCATTATGCAGCAAACCGCTAAGCCGACCCGCCCACCTGCCACGCCCCCACTCCCCCCACTGACCACCCCACTGCGCTCTAGTAAAGAGCTTTATAAAGTGGCCCCAGCAAAATAACTACATATATTGCAATGGGTTTTTTAATTAAACAATTACCTCCTAATATTTTATTTTGTAGGAGCTGCTTTTGATGTAGAATAACATGAGGCCATTGCTATT